ATGGGTTGATACTTCCACAAACTGTGGGCTAAATGAACCTTTTTTTCCTTAATTTTAGGCATTGGGTATTTTTTCTCAGCAACAAGAGAAAAATAACTAAGACACTCCCTTATACTTTCAAATACCTAGGAAAGGCTACATGAATACACAGTAAAAAAAAAATAAAAGTGACTATCTGCAAACTAGAAAGCAACACTCAAGCAGGAATCAAATTTCCTGGTACTTTGACCTTAGAATTCTTATCCTCTAGGACTATGACAAAAAAAAATCTGTTGTTTAAGCCTCCTGGTCTCAGGTGTTTCATTTAGCACTCTGAACCAGTATACCTAGACAGAAATTAAAAATTGTTCTTTTCTCACAATTCTTTCTCTCATTTTCAAATAAACATACTAATTTACTTCACAACATAGTAAGAGGGTCAAATAATATGGTCTTATTGATACTGTTCTTTTGCTATTTTGTAAAAGGTTGTCTGTTAATGTTTTCCTTTTATTTTTAAGATTAAAAAAATATGGTCTTATTGAAAGTGCCATCATTTTTAGCATGATTTATTTTATTGGGCCAATCCTATGTCAAATAGTCTCAAAATATTTTGAAAAATGTAATTATTTAATAATAAAATAATGGGATAAAATTAAACATAACAAACCGTTAAAATTGATATAAAGTTTGACAAAATACATACTTTCATCCATTAAATATTTATTGGGCTCCTGCAAGAAATAAGGTGCTTGGCCTTGGTGATAGAAAGTGAGGGAGCTTAAAACCAAGAAAAAAGTATAGTTCTGGCTTCCTTCATTGACCACACGTGCTTTAAAATAGGTTGAGCTCTATAATCCCGTATATGCAAGGGAAGAGTTATTATTTGTCATATGAAGACACACTCTGCAATAAAAAACACTATGTGACAGATGCTTCCAAAAATGTATCTACAAATCATTAGGGTTCCTGTAGCACTAACTTTTCAGATTAGCATAAAAATTTTAATTTTATAACAGCATACTATAGACATTTACAGATGCTTAGATTGAATTCCTCTAGTCATATTTATTTAAGACATGGACATTGCCTAATGGATTTCATTGTTGATATTTGCCTTTGTAGTTTCACTTTACAAAAAAATTTAAAAGATTGCATGCACATAATATTCAAACTTTGATATATGTAAAAGAATAATGAAAACTGATAGTTTCAACCACTACAGAAAACTGAATAATTTTGATAGCTTAAATCTTTCCTCGTACATCAAAAGGATTTTTTAAAAAGTGACCATAAACATTTTGCTTTACATTGCAGAATTGCTTTTATCACAAGATACTTTCTTCAAAAGATAAACTCAAGGCTTTTATAGGTAAATGGTCACAACTAGAGACCATACTCACAAGTTAAATAAATCAGACATACATATGCAAGCACCACATGGTTTCACTAGTGTAAAACCTGAAAGAGTTAATTTAAACTCGGAGGTATGATAGACATTGTGAAATGATAGGAAAGCACTCAAGGGTAAAGGGCAATTGGGATGTGGGAAAAGAGAAGGGAAAGAAGGAGAAATTTTGTATGTATGTATATACAAGATAGTTAACATAGTTGTTCTACTGTCTTCTATTTCTTTGCTGAAAGAAACTGTCAATGAGTCCTTGATTGATCAGTAATGCAGGTATCTATCTGTACTCATGAGAAACCACTTTGAAGATATCAATATGTAATACAAGAAGCATTGTTAATTTCCTACCACTTTGTTTGTAACTCTGTATTGTCTGTACTGTTCTTTTGTTATTTTGTAAAAGGTTGTCTGTCTGTTAATGTTTTCCTCCTTTTATTTTTAAAATAAAAAAATAAAAAGATACTTTATCTCATCATACATTTCACTATATGTTTGTGTTTTACCCTGTGTTTCAGAATTATGTCAGTGTTTAATTAAATATCTACTTATGAGACTATCACTTTCTAATTGGAATAGTCCTACTTAGTGTATTTGTTGGGTATTAAGAAGCAGAACAGAGAGGCGATATAATGGACTATGATACTACAAGAGGATGAAATTACTCAGTTAATAGTACAGGGAAAAAATAGTCTAAGGAACAATAGAATGCATGAGCAAAAGGAGCACCAAGGACATTTCTTGACAAGTTAGTACTATATCTTGAAATGTTCCTATCATGGCTTATGTCTGGATGACTCATCAAAGCCTCACGCACTCATAGGTGAGACATTTTTGATAATGGTTGTGTGAAGTGGTGGGTCATGGTGGGTGTGCTGGGGTAGGATGTATGATCGGCCATTTCCTGCCTGTCACGCATCTTCTGCTATGCCTGTCTTCCAGACCACCTTACCTTGGCACTAGCCAACTATGGACTGAAACCTCTGCAAACTGTCAACCAAAATAATCATTTCCTCCTTCAAATCATGGATCTTAGTTATTGTGTCTCAGCTATCAGTACGTAACTAAGTTCATTCTCCAATCATGTGAAGGTAGATGCAGGGGAGAAAATATCGAGGGAAAATAACTTTCTGTAGAAGAATATTAGTTATCCAAGAAATAAACTCTAAGAAGGATTAAATATTATGAATGTGTTAGCAGCTAGTAATAGAATTTAAGTGGTTCAGAATGAACACTAACTGTGAAGTTAGTAAAACTATATTTAATTTCCTTAGGTTACTACTTGGTATATGATTACACTAATCATGGAATTTTTGTAATTCTCAACTGCTTAATCTTTGTGAGGAGTCAAATTAAATGATCTTTAATGCTCTCTCCAGTTCCAGCATGGTTTACTTCAAACTGAAATACAGTGCCCTTGTTTATTTAGCAGCAAATTGATTCTATGTAATTAAATGTGAAAATGCCTACACATAAATGTACATAAGAAACTTCTAACACCTACAAAAAGAAAGTGTAAGAACAAAATAAACCCATGTCAAAGACAGTAAAATAAATAAATTTCAGTAATTTAATGATAATTATATATGTATAAATGTGTATGGTTTATATGCAAAAAGCAATCCAAAATTATTCATCTTACTAAAACGCATATTCTATGAATTAAATGTTAAAAATAATCTGAATCATAGTGACATTTTGCTTCACAAGGGAATGGCTTTGTAACTTTTGCAATAAATATAACCTTTCTGTTTGTGTGTTCAGGGGGTCAAACAGGGATATATGCACAGTAGGCACACATTGTACTACTGAGCCACACTCCCCCTTTTTTAAGATATCATGAATGTGACCCTTAGATTAGATGTTGTAGTAAGTTAATAGGTTAGAAATATATTGTTTTAAAGACAAAATACAGCCAGGAGACATAAAATCTATTACTCTTTTTCTTGGCTGACTACACATATGATTAAGTACTACTCTAATATGTAAATTGTTTAATGTAACTTTTATTTATTTATTTTGGCTGCTGTGAGATAGCATCTCTCTAAGTAGTCTAGGCTGGCCTTGAATGTACAGTGACTCTCTGATTTTCCTACTTTAGCCTCCTGAATACTGGTACCTGTCTTAAAGTAACTTTAAATACCATAAATTATATTAAAAGTCACAAATTATGGGTCACAAACACAATTTCTTATCTTTTTGTAAATACTATAAAATAACAGGTTTACATTTGTTCCACGCATAAATAAAAAAATAAAAAAAAAAAAAACAAAAAAAAAACCACTTTTTTGACACAGGTTCTTAGTACACAGCCCAGATTGGCCTGGAACTAATAGTACTCTTTCCGCCTCACCTCCTAAATACTAAGATTACATGCATGCACCAGCAAGCCTTGCATAAAATAAAAATTTTGGTGTTACATTTTTTTCTATTTGAGGTCCAGTTTGGTGACTTGTTAAACAAATGTGTTTCTGTGACCAGCAAATGAGGTAAATAAGCTTGGGCATCATATTCAGACCTTAACTGAAGTGAATGGTGCCTGTGTATCACAACTGTTAAAGTTGCATTTGTCTAGAATGTAATTCAGTATAGTGATCTTCTTTAAGTTGACTTCAGATCTTCTTAGCATTTGTCAGCCCCTGTAAAACACAGAGATACAGAGAAATCATCCATTCTCTTGGCAAAATGAGACAGCTGAAGAAAAATTTTTGCTCTAGGACATTACCATTGCTGGAATCAAGTCTGAAGAGAAAAGAAAAAGGAAAAGCTTTATCAACATGTCAACATGCTCTTCCTGAAGATTTTCCCTTGACAAATTTGGTAGTAGTAAAAACTACAGATCTTTGAGCACATGCAGATTTTGCTTTGTCATTATAATATGCTATTTAGTTGTTCTTTTTATTCAGTTATATACTGATGATTTCTCTAATATTGATTATCAAAAATGGCAATCATTATTCTCAGTAGAATTTTAAAATCATACAATGAAGTTCAGGTCATCTTGTTTCCATGAAGAATAAATTTTGCAGCAATTAGCTTAACCTACATTACTAAAATCTGATGACAAGGAGTTTAAGTAGGGGTAAGCACAATATAGGAAACATTTGAATATAAGTATTTTTCTAGTAACATACTTGGTGAATCAAAATTGTAAGGCTTTCACATGGAGCAAGTCTCCTTTAATTTTTTAAAAATTATTAAATAAAAACCTTTCAAATGGTCAACTTACATTTGAAAACCAATTCACGCAATCTGTGAGATTCGTCATTGTCCACACTTAGTGACAAACGGTACAAGCACAGTCCAGAGCTGTTTGGCTTCTTTCCACTCCTATCCCTACCCAGGCTGCACACTGCGAGCAGGTACAGGTTGGGGGTGCTGTAGACTCAGGGAAAACTGGAGGGCTTTAGGAAACCATCGCGCCACGCAAGGAGCCATTTGGGACCCTGCTGATTTGTATTTTATAGGAGAACTGCAATGAAGATGCATATTTAATAGAAGCTTCTTATAGTTTTAATTTATTTGAAAAATAACCATTCCCACTGTCTACAATGAGAAGGATATTATATTTAAGAGCATGGCCAAAGTATACCAAAAGCATATCAAACATTGGGCCACTACCTAAAACCATTTTCTTTATTTTCAGGAAGAAAAGAGAGCTAATAGGAAATAAAGAATGTCTTTAAATACCCATTGGAAAGCAAGCAAGGATGGACTTTACCTGTTTTTCAGTTTTCAGTGTAGGTTAATGAAGGACCTTAAAATGTTCACATTGCCTCTTTAAAACCCGCTACTTTAAGGCTGCTACTCTTTTAGGAAAGAGAATAAGAACATTTCCACCGACACAGCTCGTGATTTACATACAGAGAGCAAATAAATGAATGGAGTGGGGGATGGGGCACTGAATAGCAATGTGTTTCCCTTTCAACCGCGGAAAATAAGATTACTTACCAAGAACATTTTTATCCAGGGCAAATGTTTATTCCTTCTCTCATTCTGTAACTCGGGCTGCAAGAAATCAATTTGCACTTTATCCACCACCTTTCTTTCCTGTTGGAGGGGGCAGAGAGAGAGAGAGAGGGAGAGAGAGAGAGAGAGAGAGGCAAAAGACTCCCACTGCGCTCTTTACTCAGATTCCAGCTCAGGGAGTGATCCCGTGGGGTGAGGGCGGAGAATCTTCTCTAAGGAGAGTACTCTGGGTGGGGAGGACGATTCAGCCACTGCCAAAAAATAAATCATCTGCAAACAGAATTATCAGCTTCTCAGTCAGACAGTTCCCCAGGGAAAGTAGGTTTCAAATAGTAAAAAAGAGAGAGGGGGAAGGAGAGGAGAGAAAGAGAGAGGGAGAGAGGGAGAGAGGGAGAGAGAGATAGAGAGAGTGTGTAGTTGGGCTTGGAGGGAGAGAATGTGTCCAGTGAGAGGAAAAGGGGAGAGGAATAAAGCTAATCTTACCCGATCGATCAGGTGATCGTTTATGCAGTATCCGGACGGGAAAATGGCAAGATAATGAGCTCGGCAGCAAAGCCATTTCTAGCACACTCTCCTGTAACTGTGCAGAAATCCGAGGGGAAGTGGATGCTTCACTGCCTGCCCCCGCTCCCCAAGGATGGTCAGAACGCCAGAGGCCGTAGCTACCTTACTTACAACAAGGCTTTTGGCTTGGGGAATTCAGTTGCCCGGAGTCACAGGCAGCGGGATTCGCCTGGGAAGCGGGACCAGGCAAGGCTGCGCCGACACCTCCTCTTGCCGAGACTCCGGGTGCCCAGCCTAAGCCACCCAAGCACAGCGCCCCCAAAGCACCCAGAGACTCGACCACAGCCTCATCCTTTGATTCCCCGCAAGCCCCCTACCACCCTGCTCCCAGTCAAAGCAAATCGCTGATGCTCTGGTCATCACAATGTGATCTGTGGTGGTGGTGTATTTGGGGTGCTGAGTGCATTGGGTTTCCTTACTACGCCTCCTTCAGTTGCGGCAAGTGAAGAGGTTCCAGGGAAATCCTAGTGAGATGTACTGGTGGAATACTATTAATCCTAATCATAATGTTCCCAGCGCAGGTAACTCTTAAAGAACTGAGAATGGGAAAATCAGAGCAGGATTTTCCAAGCGGTGCCTTCCTGAATTCTCATTGGATCCTCCCCAGAAGCCTCAATCATTCTTGCCGCTATATCTATCAGGATGACTACAGTCTTGCTCACTAGTTCTCTCTTTATGTCGGTGTCTTCAATGCATCCTTCGATTCCTCTTTGCCGATTTATCATTAGTCCACCTCCTGGTCCTCACTGTATGGGGATACACCTTCTGTAAACCTGTACTTTGCCTAAGGACCATCACAAATAAGCCCCCTCACCACCACAACACCCACTCCCCAATAAAAGCTCCTCTTTCACATTTTGGTTCTTTTCCTTGGGCTTCCCAGTTGCCTGTGCCACTGGTTTGCACTTGGTGACAAGCCACCAGGAACTGCTGATTATTTCAAAGTCCTGCTGCCCTGCAGAGCTCCACTTTACCTGCATTTTGAAGACCATGGAATATCTGTTTGAACCTTGGATGTATTCTCCTCACAGTCATCTTGCTTCCTGAAATTTCTTCTGGTGAGTTATTCTCTGTATACATTATCTGTAACTAGCGTCACTGTTAAGAATTATCTGTTATGTCTCATTTTGGCATTTTTGTTCCTTCCAGTATTGCAAGATCTTGACTATGTTTATTAATTAGTATGCTGGTTGCCACTGAGCTACAAAGACGCAGCCCGTGTAATGAATTATCCTAATACATTGTGTATTTTTTAAACTTTCCTTTCTCATTTTATTACAGGTTATATAGATATTAACTTTCTCCAACCCCCATTAACCATTCCTGGTACAGCTTTTTGTGCCACTTGAAAGGTCAAATTTCCTGTTTAGTTAAAAGCAAGCTTAAATGAGATTATTGGCGGGTTTGAGAAAGTTCACTACTCTCTCTGATCTTCAGAAGGTTGTTCAGGTCAGTGTGTGTTCATCTCATTGTAAGCAACTGCCTGAACAGTGGCGAGGGCTTCTATAAAGTATATTCTTTTCTGGATTTAGCTGGAGCCTAAGCACTAACATGCTACTATGTGGTAAAAAGAGAATTTTTTCTTACAGCACTTAAATCACTCAAGAGCACATTATTTTGGGCACTGCATGTGAATTCAGGCACAGTGTTTGGAAGTACATTTCTGATTTGTGAATTAGCTGGTGAACAGTTAATTGGACAGGGAATGCTCCCTTCGTAGAAAGAAAGCTGTGGGAAGAAACCACTGATTATTTTGATGCTAATAAATTGCAATTCCGGGGCAGACTTTATACCAAAAATATAATTGGCTTACTCACACTTTCCCACCCCCACCCTTAATTTTCAATAAGTCTATTAGGAGGACCACTGCTTCACGCTGTTATGAACAGTTCTATGGGCATAACCGGCAGGACTATCACCTCCCTGTTAAGTATACTTGTCTTGAGAAACGTTCAAATCCGCTTTTACTTCACACACTGACGAAGACTGATACTCATTAAAAGCCAAATCTACATGTATCAGCGATGTCTACTATGTAATTGAAAGGTTTCTCTGTGACCCCCTCCCCAGGACAAGTTTCTGGTTTCTGTAAAATTTCCCGTTATTGGGATGGATGGGGGTGAGAACCTATTGTTTAAGCTTTTCTTTCCTTCTTCTTCTTTTTTTTTTTTTTTTTTTTTTTTTTGTCCTTCTGTGTCTTCTTTTTTTCTTTTCTTAAAAAAAAATTCTCGGAAAGAACTATTTCTGTCGTCATTAAAAGCTGACGCGACAACCCAAGCCATTTTTATTATTATTATTATTTTTGAAAGTCAAAAGCCCTTTTAGCTTCCAGACATAAAAGTACTCCAGCTGCAGCGGCACCCCATCCCCCCGCCTCCAGTCCCCGATTCAAGGGCTTTCCCCCTCTGGCTCCGCCGCGGGAGGATCGGGCTGACAGTCTCCGCAGCACTTGGCGCCCTCACCGTCACTAGTTTCTACCTGGTCTCTTTGCTGGTGCATCACCCTGCCTGCCAAGCCAGTGCCATCGCGCCGCGACTTCACTGGAAGAAACGAGGGAGGGTTTAGTGTAATTCTCCAGTTCCAACATCTTCTTTGGAGAACTGCTGCTGTTGAGCAGGGGTGGAGGGAGGCGGGAGAACAGCAACTTTCCGTGCAGTCAGGTCTTTTCTGTAACCTGGTCTACTCCGGAAAGGCGCGGACACCCGGAATTTAGGTGAGTGTGTTTTTCCCTACCCTAACCTAAGGCTTGCTCTTGGCAAAGGGAAACGATGTCCAAGAGCCGCCGTAGCCCAGAGCGTTTTAAGCAGAGGGCTATCAACAGGCGACTCTGAGCGGGGGCTTCTCCGCAGCTCCTGGCTACACCTAAGCCACCTGGGTTCTGGGAACGTGGTGGGCTAGCGAGCACCCTGCGCCTCTGAGCCAGGCTTGGTGCCCGCTACTCAGCGTCCCCAGCTGTGACCCCGGGCGCAGCTCGTACTGGCGCCTGCAGCGAGCCGGGTCTTGGCTGGGCGTTTGCAGCCCGGGAGAGAGGGGCTCGAGGGCGTTTGCATCCTTCCGGAAGGCGTCCTGGCCATCCTTCCTGGGACTCCAAGCTCTTCTGGATGAGAGGACATACGCGAGATTTCTGGGCTCTCTCATTAACTGCTTTCTGTGTTCATAGTTATTATTTGTAATGAGTTGTGTCTTAGTAGATGACGGTTTTTTAGGGAGCCTGCTTTGTGAACCCTGTGGCTGTCTTCCTGCCGGTGCTCAGCAGGACTTAAAATTGCGGAATGACTTTTCTGGATCAGTGTTAAAGTGTTGCTGACCATACGTCTTTTCCTTCCTTTCCTAACTCCCACGAATCCGCAGGGCGGTGGGGTGAGGCAGAGTTGGATTTCAACTTGGAGCTAGGGCTTGAAAGAATAAGGTTGAAGTTAAAATCAGAGTCAAGATTGGGAGCTGTCTAGCTTCTGTGAGAAGCTCTTTAAAGTTGGGCTGTTACCCCTCCCCCTCTTCTGGGGTGTGGGGTGGGAGGCAGAAGGACCTGGGTCCCCTGCTCTGCTCCCCAGAGGGCTGGCACTACTTAGCCACGGGTGACTGCAGGGTCTTTAGCCCAACAGCGGCAGAGTTTGTCTCTGGTGGCTGTTCTCCTAGTCCCCAAGAGTTGAACCAAAGAGCCTTTCACTCTGATCCAGGTCGAGAACATTATCTGTGCTTTATAGCAAGGACCTCTTTGGAGTCTCTGGCTGGGGAAGTAGGCTTTAGTTCAGAAGACCAACTGTGTGTTTCCAGCTGTGTGCAATGCCAACTGGCTATTTGAAAAGAGGAGGTGATGTCTAGGTTTACAAATTAAGCTTAGTGACCTATACAAATATTCTAGCAAGTCACATGCATGTAAGCAAAGACGAAGGATCCAGGATATAAAACTGTCACAGCAGCGTGGAAGACAGATGATCAGATTCTGGGGACTTTTTTTTTCCTTTTGCCTGCTATGTAGATTTGTTTGCCATCACGCAGTTAGCAGGTAAGGACGGAATGTCTATATAGTACTGACAGCCAGATAACCTGTGTTTGACCTATTCTGTGATGCTTTTCCCCCTCTTTCAAGCGATGAAATATGTATATTTTCAGATGTTCCTGCTGTAATGCACAACTTCTTAATATTCACATTCATGAATTCATATAAATCCTTTCAAAATGCTTAATGTATATTTATTTAAATGTGAAACCTTAATTTCCTTAAATATTTGACAGCGCTACAGAAATTGTAAATTGGAGCTAGATGAGAGAAAGAAATGGTAAGGTAGAGATGAGGAAGGGATGTGAAGTACGGAAGATGGCAGTTGCAAAAATGCCTCAAAACATTGATTCTTGCTAAGACCATAGATCTTAATAGATAAAGGACAACTGGAAATTATTGAAGGCACCTTAAGCCAGCAAAGTGATTTTGACTACTTGAAAGAAATGTGTTGTGGATATTTTTGTGGTATTTCTCAATTTTGAAAAAAAAAAAAAAAAGAAAACCTAAGGAGAGGTGTGTTGGGTTGCTAAGTAGGATGAGAAGACTTTGTCCAAAAATAGTGTTTGGGGTGACCCTGTATAAAAGCTTTGAATTAAAGAGAACAGGAGAACATTTGGAAAAACAATAGTAAGAACTTAACTCTGAAACTCTCCCCAAAATAAACCTCTTCAAAGTTAAATGTTTTGTACCTATGTAGATTGAGCAACCCGTAAGTTTCTTCCACTATCAGATTTAAATCAATTAAAATGTCATAATATTTTATTGTTTTAATAAGTTTTGATATTATTGCTAATATTATTTTGCTAAGCTTTGCTTACATGGTAAAGGATTTTGGGGTTTCCACTAAGTAAAGCAGAAAAAAAAGAAAAGACTAAAACATAATCATAAAATCTTTCCATTTATTAGTAATATTTTATTATTAGAACAAATGAATTTTTAAAATTTTTCTTTGGAGATATATTTATTGATGTGGATCTCTAATCAATATTTTTTCTGCTTGTAAGGCTTATATGATTTTCAACGAATTAGAAAGATAATAATTCCAACTTTGGGTTGTGAAATTGCAAAAGTTTTAATGCTCTTTTCAGTTTGGTGCAAAAACTAGTTTCAGCTCCACCTAAGAAAGTAATTCATCAATAAATTCTAAATTTTGAATTCTTCTGTACATTATCCTCTGGTGTTTTGTTTTTATTAGATAAGATTACTGTGTGTGTGTGTGTGCATTATTGCATGAATGGAGATGATATTTATTTTAAATCTCTATCATTTTGAAATCTTTAAAGTTGTATGAACATGATAACAATGGTTAATTTCATTTATTTTTTAATCTGATAATATAATGTGATTTCATATTTTCATGGGATGCTATCTTTTTAGGAGCTTAACATTACAGCAAGGTTGTACTTTTATAAACTACTGTTCATATTGTTTTGTTTCAGCAAAATTATATACTACAGTTAAGTAAATAAGACACAAATAGCAAGAAACTATTG